GTGGAGGCATTCACAGAAAAAAAACTTTCATACCTTACTGCTCAGCAAAATAAACCAGACACACAAGGTTAAATATTTCAGAGTTTCTCTTCTGTGAGAAACCCTAAGTACACATAATTCAAAGAGCAAAATAAAAGACAATAGGAGGAGGTACACCTTTTACAGACAGGAAGAGCATACGGGATAGAGGGAACAGGGAGGAAAGGGAGGGGAAGGGAAAATAAAAAAGACTGAGATGCAATATGCATGTGTACCAACTCCCCAAGATGAGGGTATTTATTACGTGTTGCGAAGATGTACTTATAAAAAAGGGGGCTTTGTGAGTCAAAAAATAAAAAACAGGTATTTGAAAATACACATGTCTTTCTCCTACAAAAATGAGCCAGCTTTTCACCTGTAAAGAGCCACTGTCCTCAGCCTGTAGGTGCCACTGCTTCTGTCCTGTAGTAAACCAAACCCAAACCTTCTATAGAGTCACAAGTTCCACAGATCTCCCCTGCCAAAACCCCACAGGGCTCCCCAGCTCCAGACTACAACATGCCTCTCTCTTGAAGGCCTGCATTCTATTTTTTTTGAGTGTATACTGTAAATTCTGCCCAGGAAACCTCTCAACACCTCTCACTCACTAACACATCTTGGGAATTCTTTCTCGGTGATGAAGTCAGTGAACCTGCAGGCTGCCTCAGGGGCTGGGGGGAGTCAAGTCTCCTCATCTGTACCTTGGGGGTGTGATACAATTTGGGATTTGGGGGTTTGTCCAGTGACAGAACCCATTTTTCCTCAAACTGGGAAAGACAAAACTCAGCAATCACAGCAGCACAAGGGGTACCACTGAACCTTAAAACGGAGGAAGGATCTCACACGCCAACAATGAGAGGAAATGTCCAGAGTTGACAAACCCAAGCCCATGGAGACTACAGCAGGGAGCTGGATGCTTGAGGCCGGGGTGCGGTGTGGGCCAGGACTGCTTCATGGGTATGCAGTTTGCTTTCTGGGTGATGGGAATGTTCTAGAAATACACTGCTAGAAGTAGAGGCTACAGAACATTGCAAATGTTCTAAGTGACACTTAATTGTATACTTTAAAAGGGTTTAATTTATCTCAAAAAAGAAAGAGGAGGTGGGAGGGAGTGGAGAGGAAAGGATGGAAAAAAGGGGAAGAGGGAGAAGAGGGAGGGAGAGCAAGGAAGAAAAGAGAAAAAAAGCAAAGAAAGGACGGGGTGGGGGGAAGAAAAGCACTGCGTGCGTGCTGGCTAAGGTGACCTGGAATGTAGTACTTGTGAGCAGAATATTTAGTGAATGGAGGCAGGTGTGGGCATGCACATCTGTAGTCTCAATTCTGGGAGGCTGAGGCAGGAGGATCACAAGTTCAAGCCTACCTGGGCAACTTATTGATTTAGTGAGACCTTGCCTCAAAATTAAAAAATAAAGACTTGAGAATGTAGCTTAGTTGGAAGACCCTGGGCTTGATCTCCAGTACAGGGGAAGGAAAAAAAAAGAACTTCAATGAATGAAATTTTACAAACATCTGACAGAAGGAAGAGGTTCACTTAGATTCATTCCTGCCAACAACTAACACGCCAGGCACCGGGAGGCTGGGATAGAGGGTCTCTTCAGGGGGCACTTGAGAAAGTGTGAGGTCTCTGCCCCTCTGAGGATACGACAGTCAAGCTGAGACCAAAAGCGGGGCACCTGGCCTTGGGCGGGGTGCGCAAAAAGGGAACAGCAAATGCTGAGGCCTGAGAAGAGAATTTCCGGCAGTGCCAAGGCGGTGGTCGGGCCCCCCGGGGAGAGGGAAGCAGCAGGAGTGGAGGCAGTGAGGTGACAGAGACCCATCTGCTCAGAGCAATCCCCCTCTGTGACAGCTGGGGGCCTACTGTGGCTTCAACTGCCACAACTTCCACTTTCTAGATGGGGAAACTGAGGCTCAGCAAAGGAAGTTATATGCTCTGCACCCTGGTTCAAAGTAGCATTTCCTATGTGCTAGATATCATTCTAGGCACTAGGGGGACAAAACAAAGCCCCTGCTTTGTAGCACCCACTCTCTACAAGGCCAGACAGCCACAGCTCCTACACAATCAAACCAGATAAGTGGCTTCAGATGTACATGCTTGGAAGAAACAGCAAGGAAGCCAGTCAGCGGAGGAGAGATGGGGAAGTCCTTTCAGGCAGAGATGCACTCCAAAGAGAAGGGCAGATGCAAAGGTCCTGAGGCAGAAATGATCCACAGGTCAAGGGATGGCCGTAGGTGTGAGGACCTGGCCAGGTGGGCTGGGGTCAAATCACCAGGCCTTGTGGCTGCCCCAGGAGAGCCTAGAGTTTATTCTCAGAGCAGTGAGAAGCACTAGACAGTTGTGATTAAGCAAGGGAGTGATCTGTTTTATCCAGGCAGCCTGCTTCCCATCCTTTAACCAGACCCCCCTTGTTTTTGGCCGTATTTGGTCAAATATCCCCAAGATCCCCAGTATGCTGCTGCAGGAGGGGGCCCAATGGGAGGTCTTTGGGGTTGCGCTCTGGAAAGAGACAGTGGCGCCCAGCCCACTCCTCTTCTGCGCTCTTTCCTTCTACTTCCTCAGTGCCCCAGATGAGCCTTCCGCTGTGACGGGTTTATTTCCACCACTATACGACCCACAGCTACAGAGCCAGCATGGACCGGAACCACCAAAACGGAGCCAAAACAAGCCTGTCCTTTCCACAAGGCCATGAGCTCCCGTTTTGCTATAGTGATGGGCAGCCAACGCCCCACCCACTGTCCTTGCATGAGGGCCACACAGCTGGCCACTGTTTACACTGTGCTACAAAGTTGCAAACACAGTCCTTTCTGAATCTCCCATCCCTTCTGCTGGACACAAGGTCAAAAAATATCATCTGTCCAACAGCAGGGGAGAAGTTTCAGTGAGAGGGGCCAGTCAGGGTACTCATAACAAGCCACTTAGAGTCCCCTTAGACTCTCAGCAAGGATCTAAGGAAGACGGATCTCAAACTCTCCGTACAGGAAACAGGAGGTGGCATGTTCAGCGGATTGTACTAAAATAGGAGGGTGACAAACAGGAGCCAACTAGAAAAACAACTAGAAAAGCTGGATGGTTTGTTCACTTTTCCTTTTTGGCAGTACTGGGGATCGAACCCAGGGCCTTGAGCACGTGAGGCAAGTGCTCTCCCACTGGGCTGCACCCCCAGCCCTTGGCTATTATTAAAAGCCTGAAACCGAGCTGATGCCAGCAGTATAAATACTGAGCTAGAAAATAATTAGCATTGAACATCACCTGATTTTCTGATTCTTGAGCACTTTTCCAGGGTGTGGGTATCTTACAGATTTTTCTTCTGGTTATTGAGAACAATCCAACTGGAAATGCAAAATGCAGTCTAAATCTGCACTCATATTTTACTCTAAGTCAGGTGGGTCCAGCCCGCAGCCCATTGGCTCTGCATGGCCCTGCACAGCTAGCAAAGCGGCCCCACAAGAGCATACACTTCAAACATTATGTGATTTTTTTCATGACTTAATTGTGTGGTACGACGCTGCCGCAAGGACTACACTGACAACAATGCAATGTTAGGTGGGAGAGGGGCAGTGTGCTTACTGCAATCAATTAATCAAAACCATGTGGTTAGTGGGGTGTCATGGTGCCCGTCTGTGATCTCAGCATTCTGGGAAGCTGAGGCAGGAGATCAGAAGTTTGAGCCTGGTTTAGGCAATTTAGCAACTTAGTGAGATCCTATCTCAAAAATTTTAAAATGTTCTGGGTATGTAGCTCAGCACAAAGGCCCTGGGTTCAACCCCAAGTATGGCACCAGAAAAAAAAAAAAGCACTTGCACAACTTGGTACATATTACAACTAAAATATTTCAACCAACCTACACACACTGTGCCTGTGACAACAGGTATTTCTTGTTATTAAGCAGACATATAAGTTTTCTCTTTTACTTATTAATCTTGGGCTTGCGTTTTTATTTTTTTTGGGGGGGGTTTTGGATACTGGGAATCAAACTCAGGACCTTGTGCTTGACAGGCAGGTGTTGTGCCACTGAGCTACATGCTCAGCCCCATTCTTGTGCCGTTTTCATGTTATAGTAAAAATATTTTCAAGCACAGGAAGATTTGTTATTTATATACACCTTTACTACTTTAGATATTTTATATATGGCGCAAGGCAATTCCTCTTCGCACAATGAAGACAAAAGATTGGACATTCATGCTCTAAATCCTGGTTTTGTGAAATCCTCAAACTGAAACAGAAAATATTCCAGATAAAACTCATGTAGAATCTTTTCTTGTTCAACACAAAAATAAGACACAAAAGCTATAAGGAAGCTGTCTGGGTACTGACAACTTTCCTATCTTGACTGGCGGCTTTATTTGCGTGAAAATCCATGGTCGTGTATATTTTATTGTATGCTTTACCCAATAAAAAAGAAAAGCCAGGTGTGGTGGCCCACGCCTGTAATTCCAGCACTGGGGAGGCTGAGGCAGGAGAATCCCCTAGAGTTGGAGGCCAGCCTGGGCTACACAGTTCAAGACCAGCCTGACCTACACCACGAGACCCTTTGAAAAACGAAGAAGAAAATGAAAAAATTATTGCTTGGCGGCCACGATTTATTGTGCCTTTCTATGCGAGGCAGGACTGTGCGAGGCACATTGCAGTTTCTCAGCTAAAGCCACCACCATCCTATTCCCACGTTACTGCTGAAGCCGCAGACTCCGACAACGCAAGCCACTCACACACAGTCACACAGCAACGAGCCCGGCCGAATCCGGTGTGCGGGCGGGCTAACGGTAAAGCCTGAAAGTCCGGGGGCAGGCAGCGCCCCTCGGGACGGGGGCCGGCGGGCTCTCACGCCTCTCGTTAACGGAGAAAGCTGCGATGGAGAGACCCGGTCCCCGAGGACCTGTCACGGTGCGAAGGCACTCCGTGCCCTCTGTGGGCACGCGGGCTGAGCCGCGTCCGAGGGACCCGAGGGCCCCGCTCCCACCCGCGCGCGCGCCGCCGAGCCGCCTACCTGGGAGGACGCCCGGCTGCCGG